CACTCTGAGGACAGCGTTCCTCACTCCGAGGACAGCGTTTCTCACTCTAAGGACAGCGTTCCTCACCCTGAGGACAGAGTTCCTCACTCTGATGACAGCGTTCCTCACACTGAGGACAGCGTTCCTCACTCTGAGGACAGCGTTCCTCACTCTGAGGACAGCGTTCCTCACTCTGAGGACAGCGTTCCTCACTCTGAGGACAGCGTTCCTCACTCTGAGGACAGCGTTCCTCACTCTGAGGACAGCGTTCCTCACTCTGAGGACAGCGTTTCTCACTCTGAGGACAGCGTTCCTCACCCTGAGGACAGCGTTCCTCACTCTGATGACAGCGTTTCTCACACTGAGGACAGCGGTCCTCACTCTGAGGACAGCGTTCCTCACTCTAAGGACAGCGTTCCTCACTCTGAGGACAGCGTTCCTCACTCTGAGGACAGCGTTCCTCACTCTGAGGACAGCGTTCCTCACTCTGAGGACAGCGTTCCTCACTCTGAGGACAGCGTTCCTCACTCTGAGGACAGCGTTCCTCACTCTGAGGACAGCGTTTCTCACTCTAAGGACAGCGTTCCTCACTCTGAGGACAGCGTTCCTCACTCTGAGGACAGCGTTCCTCACTCTGAGGACAGCGTTCCTCACTCTGAGGAGAGCGTTCCTCAGTCTGAGGACAGCGTTCCTCAGTCTGAGGACAGCGTTCCTCACTCCGAGGACAGCGTTCCTCACTCTGAGGACAGCGTTCCTCACTCTGAGGACAGCGTTCCTCACTCTGAGGACAGCGTTCTCACTCTGAGGACAGCGTTCCTCACTCTGAGGACAGCGTTCCTCACTCTGAGGACAGCGTTCCTCACTCTGAGGAGAACGTTTCTCACTCTGAGGACAGCGTTCCTCACTCTGAGGACAGCGTTCTTCACTCTGAGGACAGCGTTCCTCACTCTGAGCACAGCGCTCCTCACTCTGAGGACAGCGTTCCTCACTCTGAGTACAGCGTTCCTCACTCTGAGGACAGCGTTCCTCACTCTGAGGACAGCGTTCCTCACTCTGAGGACAGCGTTCCTCACTCTGAGGACAGCGTTCCTCACTCTGAGGACAGCGTTCCTCACTCTGAGGAAAGCGTTCCTCACTCTGAGGACAGCGTTCCTCACTCTGAGGACGGCGTTCCTCACTCTGAGGACAGCGTTCCTCACTCTGAGGACAACGTCCCTCACTCTGAGGACAGCGTTCCTCATTCTCAGGACAGCGTTCTTCACTCTGAGGACAGCGTTCCTCACTCTGAGGACAGCGTTCCTCACTCTGAGGACAGCGTTCCTCACTCTGAGGACAGCGTTCCTCACTCTGAGGACAGCGTTCCTCACTCTGAGGACAGCGTTCCTCACTCTGAGGACAGCGTTCCTCACTCTGATGACAGCGGTCCTCACTCTGAGGACAGCGTTCCTCACTCTGAGGACAGCGTTCCTCACTCTGAGGACAGCGTTCCTCACTCTGAAGAAAGCGTTCCTCACTCTGAGTAAAGCGTTCCTCAGTCTGAGTAAAGCGTTCCTCAGTCTGAGTAAAGCGTTCCTCACTCTGAGGACAGCCTTCCTCACTCTGAGGACAACGTTCCTCACTCTGAGGACAGCGTTCCTCACTCTGAGGACAGCGTTCCTCACTCTGAGGACAGCGTTCCTCACTCTGAGGACAGCGTTCCTCACTCTGAAGACAGCGTTCCTCACTCTGAGGACAGCGTTCCTCACTCTGAGGACAGCGTTCCTCACTCTGAGGACAGCGTTCCTCACTCTGAGGACAGCGTTCCTCACTCTGAGGACAGCGTTCCTCACTCTGAGGACAGCGTTCCTCACTCTGATGACAGCGTTCCTCACTCTGATGACAGCGTTCCTCACTCTGAGGACAGCGTTCCTCACTCTGAGGACAGCGTTCCTCACTCTGAGGACAGCGTTCCTCACTCTGAGGACAGCGTTCCTCACTCTGAGGACAGCGTTCCTCACTCTGAGGACAGCGTTCCTAACTCTGAGGACAGCGTTCCTCACTATGAGGACAGCGTTCCTCACTCTGAGGACAGCGTTCCTCATTCTGAGTAAAGCGTTCCTCACTCTGAGTAAAGCGTTCCTCACTCTGAGGACAGCGTTCCTCACTCTGAGGACAGCGTTCCTCACTCTGAGGACAGCGTTCCTCACTCTGAGGACAGCGTTCCTCACTCTGAGGACAGCGTTCCTGACTCTGAGGACAGCGTTCCTCACTCTGAGGACACTGTTCCTCACTCTGAGGGCACGGTTCCTCACTCTGAGGACAAGGTTCCTCACTGTGAGGACAGGGTTCCTCACTCTGAGGACAAGGTTCCTCACACGTAATTCAAGGTTCCTCACTCTAAGGACAAGGTTCCTCACTTTGAGGACAAGGTTCCTCACTTTGAGGACAAGGTTCCTCACCCTGAGGACAAGGTTCCTCACACTTAATACAAGGTTCCTCACTCTGAGGACAACGTTCCTCACTCTGAGGACAAGGTTCCTTTCTGTGAGGACAAGGTCCCTCACATTGAGGACAAGGTTCTTCACTGTCAGGACAAGGTTCTTCAATCTGAGGACAAGGTTCCTCACTCTGAGGACAAGGTTCCTCACTCTGAGGACAAGGTTCCTCACGCTGAGGACAGCGTTCCTCACACTTAGGACAGCGTTCCTCAATCTGAGGACAGCGTTCCTCACTCTGAGGAAAGCGTTCCTCACTCTGAGTAAAGCGTTCCTCACTCTGACAGCTGCATGCCTCACTCTGAGTAAAGCTTTCCTCACTCTGAGGACAGCGTACTGCCATAGTAGCTACACATATGGGACTGCCATACTAGCTACACATTTTATTAAGTTCCTTAGGGATGGGCAATCCTTAAGTTCACTGCGCCCACAAAAATATTCCCGTCAGGATTTTCCAAAGAACACAATAAACCATCTGGCAGAACTACTAAATGCGATAATGAACGTGAACAAGTAAATTGTCAAGATGTGCCAAGCAATTCTTTATTAGGCATAGATAGTGAATTTAACATAATCGCCAAAAGTAAAGGTTTGAAGATAGCCAACTTAAATGTAAATAGCTTAATGAAACATCTGGATGAAATTCGCTTAATCCTTAACAATAACGCCCTTGATATTCTTGCAATTAATGAGTCCAAAATTGGTAATCAGATTTCAAATAATGAGATACATATTGATGGTTTTAATATAATTCGTAAAGATCGAAATAGGTTTGGTGGTGGTGTGGTTCTATATGTTCGCCAAAACATATCATTCTCAGATAGAATAGATCTAATCCCTGATGAACTTGAGATGATCTGCATTGAATTAAGTTTACCCCTCAATAAATCACTGCTAATAAGCACATGGTATAGACCACCAAATTCTCTTATGAATATATTTGATTACTGGGCAAGCTTTCTAGCAAAATGTGATAATGAAGATAAGGAGCTAATCCTCATAGGAGATCTAAATTGTGATGTCAGTAAAACTATATCTGACCCTCACACATGTAAGTTGCAATTTTTATGTTCTCTGTATCAGATAGACCAACTTATTAAAGAATCTACAAGGCTAACTCCTAAATCAGCTACACTAATTGATTTAATATTAACAAATAGACCAGAAAATATTTCCAGATCAGGTTTCATTCACCTGGGAATTTCAGATCACAGCCTTGTCTACGCTGTGAGAAAATTTACACTACCGAATGGAAGGCAAAAAATTCGTCAGGTTCGTAACTTTAAAAACTTTGTCGAAAATGATTTCATTCGGGATGTGTCTCAATTGCCTTGGGAGATGGTCTATCAGTTTGGAGATCCCAATTTATGTTGGCAAGTCTGGAAATCACTATTATTAGATGCACTTAATAGACATGCCCCTCTGCGCCACAAGCGAATAAGGAATAACCCTGTCCCATGGATTAATCCTCAAATTAAAGAACTTATGAGAAAAAGGGACTATAAAAAAAAAAGGCCATAAAATATGATTCGGAGTCACAGTGGGAATTGTATAAAACACTACGTAATGAAGTAAATATAAACATGCGGAAAGCAAAATCTAAGTACTTTTGTGATAAAATCCAGGCAAGCTCTCAAATGGGAGACAGTAAAAGTGGATGGGCTTGGATAAACTCTCTCTCTTAGGAAGAAAGCATAAGAATGTAAATATTAATGAACTGAAAGTAAATGATGATATTATTTCTGATGATAAATCTATTACTGAAACATTAAATGAATATTTTATAAATATTGGAATGAAGATGGCTGCTGAATCAGCATGTCAAAGCACTGATGCTTTAAATGATCAAGTAATTTATGAAAGTTCTGTGCTTCTTCCTAAAGAAATTTTCACTTCGCAGATATTACTATAGATAGTGTTTCCAAACGCCTACAAAAACTAAATGTCTCAAAAGCGACAGGTATGGATGGAATACCTGCGAATATTTTAAAACTGACATCAACCCTTATTGCTCCATCTATAACTTTTATATTTAACCGATCGATTAGAACTGGTATTTATATAGATGAGTGGAAATTGGCTAGAGTTATACCAATTTACAAATCTGAGGATAAGCGTAAATGCCAAAGTTATAGACCAATTTCAATTCTTCCCATAATAAGTAAAATATTTGAAGGGGAAGTTTTTACTCAAATACATAGCTTTTTGAATAAACATGCGCTTCTGTCTAAATTTCAATCCGGGTTTAGACCAAAACATGGAACCTTAGGTGCTCTTATACAAATGTGTGATCAATGGCTACAAGACATGGATGAAGGCAAAATAAATGGAGTTGTTTCTCTTGATATGTGTAAAGCATTTGACTCGGTGAATCACGAGATATTATTGGAGAAGCTTAAAACCCAGTTTGGAATTCACGACTTTGATTTAAAATGGTTCCAATCATACTTAAGGAATAGAAAGCAAGTGTGTTCTGTTAATGATCAAACTTCTTCTGCAAGAACAATAATATGCGCAATTCCGCAAGGATCCGTACTTGGTCCATTATTGTTTTTGCTATATATTAATGATATGCCTGATATTTTAGAAAGGACAACCCCATGTCTTTATGCCGACGACACTCAGATATCTTCCTCTTCGCATGATTACAATACATTGATTGACAATTTGAATATGGACCTTTCCAGTATTCATAAATGGCTTGCTAAAAACAAACTAAAATATCATAGGAAAAAAAAAAGTCATGTTTATTGGATCTACGCATAATCTAAATCATAAAATAGGAAATAGACCCGTTGAGATTAACAAAATCCCAGTCCCACAAACCAATACATTTAAATGTCTAGGTGTAAATCTAGATGAAAAATTAAGTTGGGAGAAACATATTGATTCTGTATGCCATACGATTAGCGCTGGAATAGGAGCAATTAAAAGAATAAAACCTTATGTTCCACACAAAACCTTACATGATGTCTACAAAACATTAATTCAGCCTCATTTTGATTACTGTTCTCCCCTGTGGGATAACTGTGGTTTGGGACTTCAAGACAAATTGCAAAAATTCCAAAATCGAGCAGCAAGGGTGATTACCGGAGCTGACTACGATGTAAGATCGTCTGAAGTCCTAAACAAATTAGGCTGGGAAACCCTGGCTAAGAGACGAGAACAAAACAAGCTAGTATTGATGTATAAAGTCTTGGGGAACCACACTGCGCCAAACCTTAAAGATCTTTTTTCTCGGAGAAATGCATCGCAGAATATTTATGATTTACGCAATAGCGAAACTGATCTCTCGTTAAAAAAACCGAAAACGGAATTTCTAAAGAAAACATTTGGATACAGTGGAGCAATTCTATGGAAAAGTCTCCCGCAAGATGTCAAGGCGGCTGAGTCAATTACGTCATTTAAAACAATGGCGAAATTGCATTTAAGCAGATGATAAGCTAATTTCTCCAGGACCAAATGATGGGAGGACAATATAGATTGTGGGCGGGAGGGGGGTTAGTTTTGCGTGAGGGTGGGTGGGTACTTGTTTAGGGGGTGGAGGTTTGGGAGGAAGATGATAATATTTTAGGGTGGGATTCTTACATATTTTGTTCTATATATAATTAACATTTAGCTCTTTGTGTGTATACGCCCTTCGTGGAAACCAGTTGTAAATAATTGTCGAAGTTAGCGTATTGAAATAAAGTTTTACATACATTTTTTTTTACATACATACGCCCATTTGGGGAAAATAATGGCGGTGTGCGTGCGCACACGCCGGTTTATTGATAAATAATGTCCAAAAAAATAAATTTACATCAATGAAATAACAGATATCACAGAAAAGGTGATAAGTTAGCTAGCAGTGACAGAAGCAGCAGGCGACCGAAAGAGAAATGGGAGGGAAGGGAGAGTGCAATCGAAAGACGAAACTGACTTGAGATCATGCTCCAATGACAGCTTCAGAGGAATGAATCACGCACAGGCAACTCGCGCTTATATATGTCCCGTGTATTACCATGCGATTGCTTCGTGAATTAAAATTCCGCAATGTGACAACTTTTCCCTGTGATATTCTGTCGCGTGCGCTAGGTCACTATGTAGCTAATTGCCTATACTATATATCTAAATAGAACGCGGGAGGCAAGAAAATTACTATTCGGCGAGCAAATAGTGCCTTTATCGCCTCCCTTAAAATTAATTGTACTTTATATGACACCCCCCCCCCCCTCCACGGTAATTTGCAGTGCTGATAATCTCCGTTTTCTGTGATGCGAGAACAAAACAATAAACGCCCATTTGGGAAAAATAATATCTGTGTGCGTGCGCACACGCCGGTTTATTGATAAACAATGTCCAATAAATTATATTTACATAAATGAAATAACAGATATAACAGAAAGGGTGGGGGTCGATAAAGGCAAAGTACAGTATGCCGTAACCTAGAAATTCTAATTACAAGCGAAGATGTGCCAATCGGACAAAGTATAGCAGATAATGTGATGCAAAACGCATACTAAATAATGCAGTTAAGAGGTGAAGCAACCGGAAACCTTGGCCCTGCATCAGCAACACGGCATAGCTAAAACCTTCACCTGATAGAACATGCTCAAACAAATAGAGCGACCAAAAGCCCTGCTAGCTAAAGAAAGAATGCAGCCACACCGATCCCAGTTTCACCCAAATTAAGCACGGAAACTACTACTAGGCATGTTGGATAAGCGAATATATTTACGGAAGGCGTCGGATTTCTAGCGCCCCATAGCTCGAATCTGGAACATGCTGGGGCCGAAAAAGTATATTAAATCGTAAGCAGGCCAACACCAGCCGGCGAACAAATATCATAACTGTTGGATCGCGCGACGTGGCTTTATTAATAATATCGACCAGTGCTGCATTATCTGTGAAGAAAATGATTCGCTGATTTTGCATCAAATAGCCCCAAAGGAGCACACTCAAAACAATCGGATAAACTTCCAGAATAACAATATTAAGTGTTTTCCACTGGTCAGGCCATTCACCGAAAGACCAAAACCGACCGAATATAGCGCCAAACCCAAAGCCTGCGGCCGCATCTGTATACACATTTAAGCTGCAAGAAGTGAACCAATTATCCGCAAGAAAAATCAATCGGCCATTGAAATCATCCAAGAATGATTTCCACATACTCAAATCCGCCTTGACTGAACGACTAAGCCGAATAAAATGAGAAGCGCATGTAATGCCTCTGGTCAAGTCCATAAGACGACGTAAAAACGCTCGCCCAGGACAACAGAATGAGCAAAATTAAAAAAGCCCGATTAATGACTGTACTTCTTTTAAAGTAGCCTTTTCACGTTGTGAAAAAGCTAAAAGCAGGGCTGGCGACTTCAGTATTTTATCAGCAGGTAAACGAGCCTCAAGCTTCATGGTGTCTAATTCAATACACGCGAATGTCAAGGTGGTGTGAGGGCCAACAGTTTTTTCAGAAGCAATTGGTACACCAATATAGTCACATAGAGATGAATACAACACTGGTCATATGACCGTTTTTGGGCAATCCATTGGAGAGCAGTGCTAAATATCTCAAAGGTACGACATGATGATGCACATCCCATGGGAATGGCACGGTCATAATAAAAGTTGCCTTGCCAAAACATGCCAAGAAGATCATAATCCTGAGGGGAGATAGGAATAATGCGAAATGCGCTCTGTATATCAGTTTTGACAAGATAACAACCCGGTAAAAAGGCGTTTTATAAGAGATATTGCATCATCGACGCGACTATAAGTTACAGTAGAACGCTTACGCTCGGGTAAAATACCATCGTTGATTGATAATCCGCGAGGAAAAGACAAGTGATGTATCAAGCGAAACTGCCCAGGTGTTTTCTTTGGCACACTCGCAATGGTGAAACGCGAAAAGTTGAAAAGGGGGTGCTTGAAACGGTCCAGCAAGTCTATTTGCGCGCAGTTTCTTTTTCAACTTAGCACTGACTATCTCATGGTTTATTGATGAGGAAAAGCAAAGTCTAGTAACTGCACTTAAAATCTTACAAGGAAAAGAAATTGTGATGAACGACTGGCGTAACAATGAAATTGGTGCCTTCATCAATGCTGATGATAAATTAAAACAAAACTCTGGAATGGTAAAACCAAAAGGTTCAAAACGAGAGATTGGAAACATACTTGAATGCAAGAATGCGTTTGAAATACTTACAATAGAGGATGATAGTGAACATACTGATAATGACAAACAAGAAACTGTCGGGGAAGGTTTGAGTACCGGTATTCAAGTAGCTGAGGAGGATGTCACTGTTGAATGTAATGTGATCAATGAACAAGAGCCTAACCGGAAAGACTCGGGTACATAGATGATAGAAGGTAAGCCAGAGTTACCACCAAATAACCATAATGATCCCCAAAACAACATGAACTTAGATCGAGAAAGCCAAATTGTTATTATTGGGGACTCAATAATCAAACATATAATACCAAAAAAAATATCGAGTAGGAATGTTACGAAAATAACCTTTCCGGGCAAAACAGCTGATGAA